CCTCAATTTTAGATTACAAAACTCTTAGAAGAATTGAGAGAGGCCAAAGAAACCCATACACCAGAGATGAAACATTTCATGGGCTTAGAAAAGAAAATTAAACAGATGGAAATGAGACATAAACAACGAGAGCAAGAACTTCAACAGGTAAAGTAGTAAATCACATGTACATATTTGTATAGTTCTTCACTTTGAAGTACCTCCAGTTTGCTGTAGTTTTGTCATCCCTAGCAAAACTTACTTTGTAAAGTGTTTCCATTTTATATTGATCTTATTAATAATAAATATATAGCTTTTCAGAGAAAAATGACTTTAAATCTCAAATACCTGAAGATTGGTTTGCCTTATATGTGAAGAAATAGAGAAACAACTTGTGTCATGTTCTTATGTGCCTAGCACTAGTAATATCATTACTGTTCTTAATCACAAACAGATGAATTAATGGAAATAAAAAATGGCAGAAGGGCATGATGATGTAGTTTGGGGACTAGCCTTGGTGCTGATATTTAACTTTGCTTGAACAGTGTATTATTCGGTTTGGTCTGACACAGCAAAATTTCAAACTGGGAGGCTTAAAAGACAAACAAACTAATTTTCTCATATTTTGGAGGCTAGGATTTCAAGATTGAAGTTCCAGCTGATTCATTTTCTAGTGAGAGTTCTCATCCTGGCTTGTAGAGGGCCTTTCCTCAGTGTGTGCACTGCAGGGTGGAAAAGGGAAAATAGAGAGAGAGAAAGCTCTCTGGTGCCTCTTTTAAGAACACTAATCCAATCATCATCTAATTATGTTTGGGGTCTCACCCTTGGGACCTCATATAGGCTTAACTAGTTCCTTACCCTAAATACAGCCTCACTTTGAGTTAGGGCTTCAACATATGAAGGGGTAAGAGGGTGGCACATATTCAGTCTAAATCAGTGTAAGTTAAATATTCTTTGCAAATAAAAATTACCACATCCATGCAAGCTTTATGATTGACCTGAATTCCACAGAGAAACCCTAGGTCTATTTAATCATGTCAAGATGAATGGAATTTATTTCTCATTCTTACTCTTTTATTTGTGGACTTCTCTTAAAAACACATTGCATACCGAGAAATAATCATCCACAATAGAGTTAAGGTATCATAGTGCATCACTATTTATCCAGAACCCACCCTTGTGTGTCACTTTTTAATGCCTATTTAGAAAATAGTTGTAAGTTGTGGATAAATATGTAGAAAATTTGCTTTCTTGTTATATATACTGTATTACATATAGCCTAATGACAATTATTTTGTAGTGCTATAAATGTGATTAATTAATGTTACATATGTATTTATTGAAAAATTACATATACTAGTATGGTGTCACAAAATTGTGTACACAGTTTGAATAATTATAAAGGTAGTGTTTATTAAAATACATTTCATTTTCAAAATTGAGCTATTAGCTGTTAAGGTGTGTAGATACCTTTTGGGACGATTATTGCAATACGTTTTCTAATTTTGACTGTTTTATTTGCTAAAGCAAAAAATGCAGTAGGATTTTAAAAATATCTTTGATTCATAGAGAAGGTGATCGATTTCAGTTTCATAGTAAAATGCTAAATGAAGATGTTATCTAGATGGCAACATTGGTTGTTCTGACTTGAGTTCCCTCACAAAAAGACCAATTAGCAACCAACAATTCATAAACAAGGCAATTGTGAAAAATGTCAAAACACAGGTGAGTCTGAAGTACTCTTTTGTCCCACAGAGACCAAGAAGCACTGCATTAAAAGGGTAAGAGGAGCAGCCACACTCTGACAGCATTGCCTCCCACAGGCCGGTATAGCGCTGCACCAAAGGGTACCCTGCGGCCTACATTTTCTCCAGTGGGAAAAAGAGCCCAAGGTGAACATCCAGCTTGCCCACCACTGTGGGTTGCTTCCCAGGAGGCCCACAGTCTCACTTGTTGGAGATTTCAGGGCAGAATCTATGGGGCTCAACCACTGGCAATCAGATTGTGACTACAAAGTTCACCTCCTGCCATGGACACACTAAATCTTTAGCTACGTATAGAACAATTTCCTCTGGGGGTAGGAGTGGTGGCAGAGAAACAAAACAAAAAAGCAACTAGCTGAACAACTCCTACACATCAAAGCAAGCTGAGACAAAATCTCACTAAAAACCTCCACCTCCAGCTAGCAACCTACAATCCAGAGGGAGCTCAAAAACCGGATCTTTTCCCTGAGGAGTAAAGAGCTTGAAACCCACATTGGGTACTCTAACTTTTAAGACCTGCACCTCAGAGATGAACCTCCAGACCTTTGCTTTGTAAGGTAATGGGGCTTGTGTCCCCGAGACCCAGGAGGCTCTAGCAAACCAAGAAACAGCCCTACAGGCCGAGTGCATACACCCACCCCAGGGCTCAATGCAGAGGCAGCACCCAGGCTTTCTGTGAAAGAACTTGGCTTATCTTTAAGCATTGGCCTGAGGGGCAGGCATCTAATACAACACACATCTAGGAGCCTACTGAAATACTCTCCAGGGACAAGGGTGGTGAGAGCTATCTTTACACTCTTCCTCTCGCCTTGCTACAACTTGCCAATACCTTCCAGAAAGGAGCTTGTACCCTCATTTGGCACCTCTATTTTTGTGGCTGCACCCAAATATATATTGCCTTGGTAGCCCACTGGACAGTATATATATATAGCTGCTGCGTGACTGACTGGCTTCCCGTCTATCTGAATCTACGTACTGAGATCCTCCCCTTTGAGAAACTGACAGGTCTCCAGGTCTCGACACACTCCCAACTAATGGAAACCACTAAAAATAAAATAGGTTGTTCAGACAATTACAACAATTTATAAGAGAAAACCAAGAACTAGGACAGAGTTGAATGACAGCTTCATCTACATGATGACACCCTCCTTCAAGACTGTGGCAGGTGGCTCTTTTATCCAATGTATAGAAACTAACACAGAGAGTCAGGAAAAAATAAAAAAAATAGTGAAATATATTCCAAAAGAAAGAACAAAATAAAGCCTTTGGAAAAGATCTTCAGGAAACAGAGATAAGTGATTTATCTGTTAAAGAGTTCAAATAATAGTCATAAAGGTACTCACCAAGCTTTGGAGAAGCGAATGAACAAAGTAAAATTATAATAAAGTACCAAATAAAAGTCACAGAACTGAAGACTACAATTACTACACTGAAAAATACAATCGAGGTGTTCATAGAGGGGAAGAAAAGATGAGTGAATTCAAGGATAGGACAGTGGCCCGGCTGGTGTGGGTCAATAGTTGAGCATCAACCTATGAACCAGGAGGTAATGGTTTGATTCATGGTCCAGGTACATGCCCAGGTTATGGGCACAATAGTGCAGGAGGCAGCCAATTAATGATTCTCTTTTATCATTGATGTTTCTATCTCTCTATCCCTCTCCCTTCCTCTCTGAAATCAATAGAAATGTATTCAAAACCTTAAAAAAAAATAAAGACAGGACAGTGAAAATCAGAGCAGCAAAAATGAAGAATGAAGAAGAAAGAAGTGAAGGTAGCTTAAGGCACTTACGGAACACCATCAAATAGACCAACATTTGCATTGGTACAGGGGTCCCAAGAGAGGAGGAAAAGGGGCAGAAAACTTATTTGAAGAATAATGACTGAAAACTTCAATAACCTGGGGAAGGAAATAGCCTCCAGATCCAGGGTGCTGGGAGTTCCAAATAAGAAACACCCAAAGAAACCCACACCAAGATATATTGTAATTAAATTATCAAAAGCTAAAGACAATGAGGAAACCTCATAAGACATCAGCAAAAACTTTGCAGTCCAAAAGGGATTGGCTCAAAATATAGCAGAAAGGACGAAAGGAATTATGACAAACTCAGTCATAAAATAAGTCACAGGAATGTAATGTACAACTTAAATATAGCTAATATTGTAATAATATATGGTGACAGATGGTTACTATATATATTGTGATGATCACTCCATAAGGTATATAAATGTTGAAGCACTATGTTGTACCCCTGAAATACATTATATGTCAACCATAATTTCACATTTTGATTTAAAAAAAAATACTGAAGGAAAAAAAAAAACTTACTACCAGAATACCCAACAAAGCTGTCATTCACAGTTAAAGGAGAAATGAGTTTTCCAGACAAACAAAAGCTAAAGGAGTTAATTGTCTCTACACCAGCCTTACAAGAAATGATAAAGGGACATCTTTAAGTTGAAACAAAGGGGTGCTAATTGGTAATAGGACCACATATAAAAGATGAAATCTCACTGGTAAAGGCAAATATATGGTAATATACAGAATAATCTAACATTGTAAAGGTGGTGGATTAATCACATAAAGATAATATGAAGGTTAAAAAGCAAAAGTAGTCAAAATATAACTAATAATTTCTTCAGGATAAAAAGATAGAAATTGTGACATCAAAAACAAAACAGTAGGGAAGAAAAATGTAGGGCTTTAGAATGTGTTAAAACTTAAGGTGTCTTATGTAAATAATCCTCATGGCACCACAAAGATAAGCTTATAGTAGATACACAAAAGATACAAAGGACTCTAAGCATACCGCTAAGAAATTATAAAACCACACAGGAGGAGCACAAGAGAAGAAAAAGGGAACAGAAGACCTATAAAACACCTACTAAGTATTTTTAATGGCAATAGGTATATACTTATAATTATTTGTAAAAGGACTAAATTCTCCCACCAAGATGACAGAGTAGCTGAATAGATTTTTTTTAAAATCTTTATTGTTGAAAGTATTAGATAGGGCCTCCTCCTTTTCCTCCCATAAACCTCTTCCAGCCCGCTCCTGAACCCTCCCCCCCTGGATTTTTATTTTTAAAGACTCATCTATATGCCTACTGGAGACTCACTTAAGTTGTAAGGACACAGACAGTCTGAAAGTGAAGGGATGGAAAAAGATAATTCCCTGCAAATGGATACCAAAAGAAAACTTTGGTAGCTCCACTTACATCAAACCAAATAAGACTATATGGTAAAGACTGTAAAAAAGACAAAGAAGGTCATTACATAATTAAAAGGGGTCAATACAATAAGAAGATGTAACATTTAACAATAAGACGATATAAAATCTACACAGGAACACCTAAATATATAAAGCAAGTATGAACAAACCTAAAGGGAGAAATACTTAGAAAT